GTCAGGAAAGTGCTACAGGAACAATCAAATAAGATAGATACAGCATTGGAAGCAATTCAAAACCTACAGAGAGTGGTCCAATCGATCAATAACAGAATATCAGAAATAGACAATACTCTGAAAGGGCAAAGGAGTAGAATAGACGAGATGGATGGCAGAACCAGTGAGCTGGAAGACAAATCTCTCAAAACCACTAAGCTAGAAGAACAAACAGAAAAAAAAGCATTAAAAAATCTGCAGATGGTCTAAGATTCATGTTGGACAACATGAAGAGGAATAAAGTAAGAATTATCAGCATTCCAGAACAAGAAGAATCACACAAGTTCGCAGAGGAAATAGTTGAAGAACTGCTGGAAGAAAATTTCTCTAACATCCTGAAAAGTGAAAAGATAAACATTCAAGTAGCTCAGTGAACTACAGGATGGATAGACCCCAAAAGAAAATCACCAAGACATATCATAGTCAAGCTCTCCAAAAATTAGAGATAAGGAGACACTTCTGAAAGCAGCCAGGGAAAGCAGAAGTGTCACATACAAAGACAAGCAAGTCAGATTAAGCTCGGATCTCTCAGCAGAAACCTTGCAAGCAAGAAGGCAATGGGGAGACATCTATAAAAGCTTGAAAGAAAAAAAATTGCCAACCAAGAGTCCTTTATCCAGCAAAGCTATCAATCAAATATGATGGTGTAATCAAAACATTCCAGGATAAACAGAAGCTAAGGGATTTTGCCAAAGCCAACCCTGCTATGAAAAACATACTAAAGGGAGTTCTGTGGACTGAGAACCAACAAGAACAGACAACAACCAGAGATTGACTTACGTGGCAGCACCTCCCAGAATTAAGTCATCAGAAGGAAGAGTTGAGAACAGGACAAAACTATAAGAACAAATTCAGAAAATCTGGGAGGTCAGTCTATGATCAAAACAAGTACAATGTAAAAGAAGGTAAACATGTAGCAACAGAGATCCAGATAGTGAGAAGGTTAGGTCGATTACAGGATAAAATAGACTGCACTAAATGGAGAGAAAAGTTAATGGACTATAAGGTAACCTCAAAGAAAATAAATACTTCACAACATACCAAGA